GCAGGTTTATTAGGCTGCTGTCACTTTAAGAGCTAACGCACTAATCCAATATACTGTTACACAACATGCAATTTATTTTTCAACATTTACCTTCCAAAACTGACTGTATTTACCTGAATACTCGGCAAGACGGGCATTCTGATAACATTTTGTATGTGTTTGACCGTTTAAGTGCAAAAATCTTATAAGAGCGCCACTTATATAGATCAGTGGTGCGCACGTGAAACCTGCGGGAATTACTAAAATTTTGGCCAATACAAGTACTATTCAACCGGAGCAAATGACATGAGTGAGAGGAAGCGGGTGTGTGTCAATAAGCTGTCGGAGAGAAGAGAGAGTGAGAATGTGCTGTTTGGTATCGGCGTATCGATACTGCAGAAAAGAAAAAAGGAAAACCGTTTCAGATATTTCAGTATCGATACATATCGAAATATCGGTGTTTTTGACAACTACTTTATAATTGCATTAAATTGAGCCACAAAATCTATTTTTGTTTAAATAAATGTGTTACTGTAATCATAATGTACATCATGAGCAGCTATGTTGTTGCTTGCTTTTGCTTTCTAAAAATCAGCCTATAAACCACGAGTGTTTCTAGTCTGCAATGCTCAAAATGTTGGAACTGTTTATGTAAAACAAAACAAATATTTAACAGAACCTGAGGGAAAGAGGGACTCGTAATATCATAAAAGCAAGTACATCTGGGAAACGGGACTTTCTGCTTGCATAGAAAATGCTGCTACCTGTCATTATCACAACTGTTTTGTTCTTTTATGTGTACAAAGATGTGGCCGATATTGTCCTCTGGGGTGTTTTTGGTCTTTTCCTTAGTATAATGATGTCTTGTGACTTTACAAATAATACTTTTTTTTTTTTTTTTGATTAAATGACTGCATCAACCCCAAAACAACTGTTAAGTTTACAGACAAACATCACCTGTCAGCCATCAAACTGCCAGACAAAACATCAGGAGTTCAAAGAATGAAATGAACTAGATGTTTGTTGTGAATGGTTGCCTCTGTGTTACTATGCAGTCACGACATTCTGTGTGGTTTTTACTGTTGCTATGTGTTTGCTAAGGCATTGCTTACTGACCTTACTCTGCTGGTAGTTGTATTTTTCAAAGGACTCATGACAACAGCTGATGCACATTAGGTTGTTACACAAAAAAAATAAAAAAAAATGAATATCTAGTTTACTTGCTTGCCTCGAATAAAACTTTGTCTCATACAGTGATTATTTCCTCCTCCAACATGCTTGTTTTATCAACCCAGGACCTTATAAATATGACCTTGTCTCCAGGCAAACTGATACTCTTGGAATGTATGTAAAGGTCACCCGGCCTGATTATAATTTAGTCTGTAATATGCAATAGAGAGCCAATGACCAGACAGACTGTGGACTGTCATCTGAGGCTGAGACTACAGGAACTATTGAATAGTGCAGCAGGGACACACACACATGCCAGTTTTGTTATGAGCATAATACCGACACAGCCAATTAGGTCAAATGCAAATGCACATCCACCAATGAAAAAGGCAGGAGATGGAAAAGTTTGCAAATTGCACAACTTATTTTTCAGTGTGAAATGGGAGACTATCTTTTATGTTGGTTGGCAACAGTGTTGGGGAAAGTTACTTTTAAAAGTAATGCGTATACAATAACTCTCTAACTTTCTAAAAAAAAGTCTAAAACTACAATAACCATCATCTTTATACACAGCGCACACAACGCCTCTGCTCTTACTTTGATTTCTCCCAACATGGGGACAGGAGCGCTGTCAGTCAATAAATGGAAGAACAAAATAACTTTCGTCACTTATTTGAAAACGTAACTCGGATATTTTCTTGTAAATTTAAAAGTAATGCATTACTTTAATAGTGACTTGAAAAACAGTAATTGATAACTCACATCACTTGAAATGCATTACCCCAACACTGGTTGGCAATTATATATGTATATATATATAGGATATGTAATGGGAAAACATGGTGCTATGTAAAATATTCATGTAACTTTACCTAGACTGCATACAGTTCTGAGAAAAACTTTAATAAGACATTATCTGGATTTCTGCATGATTGGCGCCAATATTGTGCTTTTCATCAAAGTTGGTTGTAGCAAACAACACAAAAGACGTTTGATAGTGTGTCTGTTTCACCCCTACGGTGCCACACTTCACTGAACAAATGTTCATTTTTGCGAAGGCCGTCAAGCTTCACGTTGCAGAGGAAGATTTGCCACGGAACAATTTGTTTTCTCCAGAGCACTGTGAACTCCGCTCTAGTACATCCAGGTGGTCTTTTGGGAAGTTCAAATGGACAGCTTTCTTGTCCTTTATTTGGAGAGCTTGTTGGTAACATTCAAAACTTAACTCTTATTCAGAGCTTTTCATTATGTAGACTCATTAACATACATGTAGTCCAAAATAACCCAGTAGAACTTTAGATGTTTCTACACTCTTACAAATAAAGGTTCCAATTAGAACCAAGAAAAAAGGCCAAATTCTACTGGAGAACCTTTTGAAGGTCTACAAAGAACATTTTGTTCTTTAGTTCATCAGAAACCATTTATGTTATGCAAATTCTTAAAAAAATTAAAATACATATTGACATAGGTGGTTCCAAGAAGATCCGTGGAGCCTTTCCATTGAACACAAAGGTTCTTTAGATTTTTAAAGTTTTCTTTACACTAAGAAAAATGGTTCTTCACTGAAAGTTTTTTGGGGAATCCAGAATGGTTCTATTCTATGGAATCGCTCTGTAAACCCCCAAGACATTGTCAAGAATTTGTTTTGATCTCCATAGAACCATTTTCATTTAAGAAAATGGTTCTTGATGAAAAGAGCCTAAGGTGTTGAAAAGAACCACTGAATAATCTCTATTTTTTTAGGGTGAAAGTTTGCGCTAATCTTAAGGCCCGGACATACTTAATTTACCGCGTTCCGCTCTGTCTCGAGCACACTTGAGTACGCAAGCATTTCAAAGTATACTCCTTTAGCCGTGAGTGCAGAAAGATGATTTTGTTTTTAATCGCTCAAGTCACTCCCATGTGTGCTGTTGAACGCAAAAATTGGACGGCACGTGGACCCTCCTGATGATGAAAATTACATCACAGGGCTGAAGTATAATTTGAGCGTCAGAGTTTAGCTCCAACCTTGATAAAACTCTGTAAGTTTTAACTTTTTTAAGTTTTAACACTGTAACTTTCTAGTAATTCTAGTAACTTTCTGAAGGGCTTGATTAGCTTGTTCAGGTGTGATTGATTAAGGTTGGAGCTAAACTTTAGCTGTGTCTCATTTCGAAGTCTTCGTCCTCCGTAGCTCGCATTTATCCGCCGCATAAGTCATCATTACTTTACTGAAATGAGGCAGCCCCAATGCTAGCCTGGTTAAAACCAGACCATTCTCAGTTGTAACTGAGTTATGGTCTGGCAAAGCGTCATAGACAAATCATTTCCAGAGGGGCGTCACCAACGGACGTCGCGGATAGACCTAAACCAATCAGAGCGATGGAGATGACGTATGCAGAGCGGCGGAGAAACATCTCCGAGTGTTGTTCTTTGCTCAGTTTTTAACAAAAAGGAAACGTTCAAATCGCTTAAAACAGACGCGATAGCTGATTCGAACGAGTGATGTTCGACGGCGGCATCCATCTTTGTAATGTAGGCTACAAAATCATTCTCAAAATCCCAGCGCTGTCGTCATCGTGTAAAGCCCGCCCCAACGTTTCTGATTGGTGCCGCGATTTCGACGGATTGGAAATGGGTTTGAATGAGCTCTTTGCCAGACTAACTTTCAGAGCAAATCTAAATTTGCCGGAAGTTGTCCGGGTTTTCCCAGGCTACCCCAATGCCGTATACGGGAGACAAATGCGACCTCCGAAATGAGAGAGAGCTTCTGAAGGAAAGTGCACCTTGAGGGCCAGAGTTGAGAATCCCTGGATTAAAGGAAGTCCTTGTGTAATCCTTTAAAGCTTCTGTTCTCCTTGGAAGATTCCTCTGAAATGTAATCAGGTGTTCTTTTTTGAAAGACATTTACTTTTGATCAGTGCATTTCACATGGGTTTTGTTTGGGGTCAAACGCACTGAATTCATTTATCTTATTTTCGCAAAGACTGACTTTGACTGTTTGTTTGTGAAATTTAATTTATCTATAGTTAAACTGAAAATGAAAGATACTTTATTGTCCATAAATGTCATTTTTATTGGACTTCATTGTGATGCTCACATAAACTACTCTCCTGTTCTCTTTTGGTGAACTATTGCTTATAATTTAAGTTTGGAATTGGTAGGTTTTAGTCAAGATTTTGCCATGATGTGGGTTGTTTACCTGGCAGAGTTCCTAGAAGACTAATAGATTAGTCGAGGAAGAGTTCTTTTCTTGAGATCATTATTCACTCGGTGTATTTTTGAGCTTTGTTGTACTGTAGACTCACTTTTTCCATTTGTGTCCTGCAGTATTTGGCAGATTTGTATGAATGTTCTTCGTTCATGGAGTGTGGAGAAGAGGAAATCGAAAGGGTTTGAGTGGAGGGAGGCAGCAGATGCAGTTCTCCGATTCTCATTTTTTTGGCCAAGATGTTACACGTGCAATGACACATATTCAAAATGTCCTCATTAAAACCGACATCTGGAACAAGGTTTCCCAAATGGGGATATTGCTGGGGGTTTGTAATAGGTTGTGATGGAAATGAATTACAAATAAATGCAAATAAAATACAATGAATAGTCATGTAACATGTATTATCTTAAAAATAAATGAATGCGAAAAGGTTAATTTAATAGTAACAAGATTAGACAAATAGCAAAAAAATATGCATCACAAGTTAATATGAATCGATGTTGAGAAATGAATTATAATGTAGCGGGAGGCTGGCCCTGTTATAATTTTACTGTTAATCACTGTAGATAAAACTGACAACTCACTCATACTTATGCAAAATGTGATTTCGTTTTATTTTCTATTTTTCTTTAACAATTCTCTGCTGCTTGTCTTTCAGATTCGCCGAAGACGACCCACACCTGCCACGTTGTTCAAAGTAGCAGACCAAACATCTCCTGAGGATGACATCTCCAGCCATCAGGTACCACAGTGCCACCTCAGTTCTGGAGGTTAAACTGCATTCATACATTGAAGGAAAAATGCTGAATCTAGCTTTGTTGTGTGCATAATATTTTCGGCAATAACTTCCCTTACAAAAAAAAACTAATTCTGTGATGATATTGTAGTAATACGGTGGTATCTCCATTTTACATGATAAATAATACCATTGTAAAATATGGAGCCCCTAAAAGCACATAGTAATGGAAAAAATATATAGTTCTTGCTGCTTTATTCTTGCTGTTGTTTATGCATTTACAGTAATTTCAATACATATTTAAATGTTCATCTTCAGCTTAATAATAATTAACCATAATTTAATTTAAATGATTAATTATTCTAGCAAATATTAATTATATAACTATTATACACATACAGTATAATACTTTAATGATATAACATAATTATATAAAAATATATTGTCACGACTACCTGGCTCACAGTAGCAATGACATAGGGGAGACCACACCGTTTGTTAAGTTAAAGCAAACATAATTTATTAAACATTAAATTATACGATGAAATCATAACTTAGATCAATAAATGTAACAAGTCAGTAAATGAGAAACGAAATGAAACTAATCAAAAAGTGTGTTGCAGATCAGTAAAGTGTAGACTATGTGTAATGCATACAAAGCAAAAAGAAGTGGGATGATGCTGCTGCCACCAGCATGGAGACCCGAGCAATGCCGAGCCGCGCAGCACAGAGCAGACCAAACAACCGACAGGAGATGTTTTTAAATAGTCCCTCCAATCAGCTGTTGTCGGATGGACCTAAAACAAACAGCTCCCCCTTCAGACTGGGAGGAGAGAAACGGCCCAAACATAATACTATCCATGGTGGAGTGAGCACACCCAACACGGCAAAGCCGGGCGTGACATCACTCCCCCCACAAAACAGAGACCCATGTGGGACTCTGTAAAACTACATTCTACTCATTACCATTTCCCATAAACAATACTAAAAACAAAAACTATACCCAAAAAACAATAAAATGTCTAAACCCATTACCCTTTTTAACCAGTATCCCGAAAGACTAAGATTAGATTAAACCAAACTCTCGACCCCATTCATCCACCCCTTTAATACAACAGCCACTACAAAAAATTAACCCATACTCACCTCCCATAATCCCCCCCCCCTACCTTCCCACCCAGCAAATCCTGGCGCCTGGATAGCAATTTAAGAATGGAAAGACCGGAGGCAAGAGAGAAGAACCAGAGACTGGAGAAAAGATAGGCACCCCTTAACAGTCATCAAGAGCCCGTGACAAAGCATCAGCCATGACATTCTCAGACCCCTTGATGTGTCTAATAGATAGATTATAAGGCTGTAGAAAAAGAGCCCAGCGCATAAGGCGCTGGTTAGTATTTTGAAGAGAAGAGAGGAAAGTCAGAGGATTGTGATCAGAAAAGACCACCACAGGGTGTAACCCACCACCAACATACACATCAAAATGTTGGAGTGCCCAAATAAGGGCCAGGGCCTCTTTTTCGATGGTTGAATAGTTAAATTGGTGACAGTTAAATTTCCGAGAAAAATAGGAAACTGGTCTATCTATCCCATTTTCATCCTTTTGAAGGAGAACGGCACCTGCCCCTACCTGGCTGGCATCTACTTGCAGCTGGAAGGGCTCCTCCAACCTAGGAGCAGCCAAGACAGGTGCAGAACTCAGGAGAGACTTGGCGTTTTCGAATGCGTGCTGGCAATCAGCAGTCCAATTGAATTTAACTGAACCCTTCAACAGGTTAGTTAGTGGGGCAACGACAGATGAAAAATTACAGCAAAAATTCCTGTAATAACCTATCATACCAAGGAAGCGCATCAATTCTTTCTTAGTGACAGGACGTGGGAATTTGTCAATGGCCAGGACTTTCGCTCTCACAGGCCGAACGTTCCCTTGTCCGACCACCTTTCCCAGATACACCACTGTAGCCTGAGCAAACTCACACTTTGCTAAGTTAACAGTGAGATTTGCAGCCGCAAAACGTTCAAATAATGAACGTATGCGAGCCAGGTGGATCGTCCAAGTGTCTGAATAACAGACCACATCATCAATATACACAGCGCACCCCTCCAGTCCCACAACGACTCGATTCATGAGCCGCTGGAAACTAGAAGGGGCGTTGCGCAACCCAAAAGCCATTCTCGTATAAGAGTAGAGACCCGACGGCGTAATAAAAGCAGAGATCTCTTGTGCCCTAGGAGTAAGAGGAACCTGGTAATAACCTTTAAGCAAGTCAAATTTGCTCACATAACGAGCCGCACCGACTTGATCAACACAATCTTCTATCCTAGGCAGTGGATACGAGTCTGGTTTTGTTACACTATTCACTTTTCTGTAATCCGTACAAAATCTGTACGTATGATCAGGTTTTTTGACTAACAAACAGGGCGAAGCCCAGCTAGAGTATGACTGTACGGCAAGACCATTTTCCAAAAGATATTGGACACTATCATCCAGACTTTTACGCTTATCAGGACCAGTGCGGTAAAACCTCTGACGTATTGGCTTTGCATCACCGACTTCTATGTCATGCTCGATTAAAGTTGTGCAGGTCGGAGTATCTGAAAACAGACATGGAAATTCAAAAATTAAAGCTTTCAATTCTTCCCGCTGTTGCAAATCCAAATGATCTAAAACTCCCTCTAACTTGCCCAACGTCTCTGAATTATTTAGACGAGCATGCAGCATGGAATCGTCAGGGCCCTGCACATCATCCTCTAACTCTGGAGAGGCTACCGACGTGCTTGCCACAACCAAGACAGACGATTCACCCTTACAACTAGGTGACCGTGACGATACATAATATGGCTTAAGTAAATTGATATGACATAACTGTGTCGCCCGCCTACGGTCAGGCGTAGCAACCACATAATTAGTCTCTGACACTTGACGAACCACACTGTAAGGCCCTGAATACTTTGCCCCAAAAGGAGAACCAGGTATAGGCAACAATGCCACAACCTGATCCCCTGGACTAAAGACACGAGCTTCTGCTTTACGGTCATAATTTTGCTTCATTTTTCTTTGGGCATCAGTCAAATTTTCGGTTGCCATTTTACATGCCAAAAGTAACCTGCGGCGGAAACCATACACATAACTGGACAAACTCTTGGGTGGTTCATCTGAATCCAGATCACTTGACAACACAGACAATGGGGTACGAACCTTGTGACCAAATACCAGTTCATTGGGACTAAAACCTGTGCTTTCTTGCACAACAGCTCTAGCCGCCAACAAAAGCCATGGTAATCCATCCTCCCACTCCCGTTTCATCTCTATGCAATATGCACGCAAAAGAGACTTAAGAGTGGCGTGGAATCGCTCCAAAACCCCCTGACTTTGCGCATGGTACGCGCTACTCAAGTTATGCTGGATACGCAGCTGTTTCAAGGCTGCTGCGAACGTTTTTGATGTAAAATTTGAACCACGATCACTTTGAATGACTCTAGGAAGTCCAAATATTGAAATAAACTGCGACAATGACTTCACCACAGACCTTGTCGTAATGGTCCTCAGAGCATACGCAGCAGGATAGCGAGTCGTTTGGCACATGATGGTAAACAAATAAACACAGCCTGATTTTGACTGGGGTAAGGGGCCCACACAATCAATGATCACATGCTCGAAAGGCTTACCAACAGATGGAATAGGCTGTAAAGGCGCAGGCTTAATGACAGCATTTTGCTTACCTGCCACCTGACAGACATGACAAGTTTGAACAAACCGTGAAACATCCTTCTTTATCCGTGGCCAGTAGCAATGTTGTAACAGTTGATTATATGTTTTCCTTACCCCAAAATGACCCGCTGTTTCCCCATGAGCTGTTTTTAGTGCCACATCACGAAACTTTTCAGGCATCACCACCTGCAAAATTTGATCTCTCACATCATTTCCCACAGTAGGTGACCACCTTCTTAGCAACAAACCATCCTTCACAAAATAACAGCGATCTAAATTGTCATCTACAGCCAACTCAAAGTATTTCTTTAAGCTTGGATCACTCTTTTGAGCCTCAGCAATGTCAAAACGAGACAAAGGTACTGGTAACTGCGGAATAAATACCTGAGCAGACGTGTGCTTGGATACATCAGACGAGTTTACATCCTGCTTATTCGCCATAGCGCGCGTCACAGCGCACGCTGTAAAAACATCTGGAAAATCTTTTTGACAACTATCTGACTCATCCAATAAAGAAGCTCCAATCTTAACCACAGGAGGTGGTGAGACCTGATCAGGAAAAACACGATCATGAGCAAAATTATTACCCACAATCAGATCAACTCCCTCTATAGGTAAAGAAGGACGCACCGCAATGGTTACATCCCCATTCACAAAACCAGAAAACAATTGAATTTTGTGCAGCGGCACTGGAAATGACTGGAGACCAATTCCCCGTATTAAAACACAATTTCCTGTATCAGATTCAGACGAGAAAGGCAAGACAGATTGACAAATGAAACTCTCTGATGCACCCGTATCACGCAGAATTTTCACTGGAACGCGACGTGCGTCTCCAACCAATGCCACAAAACCCTCCGTAACAAACGGTGCATAATCCGTTATCATAGATGCAGAAAATTCAAACTCATCACTCTGTACATTACCTTTATCAACTGACACAGTACATTGTGCACGATCCAATGTCTTTTCTGGAATTTTCTTACATGTACTCCCTGAGCGCACACCGGGAACAGATGAGGTACAGAGACCAATTTTTCCTCCATCAACCTTCCCCCGATTTCGCTCCAATAACACCGGGCAATTTTTTTTCCAATGATTTTTCCCAAAACAGTAATTACAGTCGGTTTTAATATCGAAATCTGATGGTTTACCACGTGCACTTGAATTTGAAAATACAGATGTGTCCGTATTAACACGACTATAGCGACGTTCTTTGTAATTAATGTTAGGACGCGGACAAAAATCACGAGCTGGAGTCTTGTGTATGAGAGAAAAATTATCAGCAAGAACAGCAGCATCTGCTGCTGTTTTCACGTGATGTTCGCTAATATAAGTAGCTATGCGATCAGGCAATGTGTTCTTAAGCTGTTCCAATATTATAATATCACACAACTCATCAAAAGAATCAACCTCTTCAGCTGTAAGCCAACGATGAAAAAAACTGGTTAATTCACCAGCCCATTCAGCGTAAGTCTGCTTGTCTGACTTTTTCCATGATCGAAAACGCTGTCTATAAGCCTCGGGAATTAACTCATAACACTTTAAGACAGCTGTCTTAACGGATCGATAGACCCTCTTTTCAGAAGACGGTAAAGCCACAAATGCCTTCTGAGCACGGCCAATTAACGTAGTTTGTAACAATACAATTTTATCCTCATCACTCCATTTTTGCTCAGTAGCAATATTCTCAAATAACGAAAAAAACACATCTGGATCGTGCTCATTAAATTTAGGCAGGAACTTAATCATACCGGCCAGGCCAGATTGCTGCGATTTGCCAAGCTTACCTTCAGCTACTAATTGCAGCCTAGTACGCTCAATCTCACGTTCCTGCTCTAAATTTTTAAGCCTTTCCCATTCCAACTCACGATCCTTGTCTTTCTGTGCAGCTTCTAACCTTTTAAGGTCCATTTCGTTATCAAGCCTTCTTTGAGACAACTCATCATCTAATTTTTTCCTTGCTAATTCTTGTTCCAATTCCAATATTTTTTTTTTTTCTTGCAAATCATGTTGTAGTTTTAACATTTCGACTTGCTGTTCAAATGTTAATATACTGGATTTTGGCTGTGGGTCCACAAACAAACTCGGAGTGGGCTCACTATCTGAACTCGACTCTCCCTGACCATAGCGCTCCGGCAATTTCTCGTCAGGTAACACGTTATTGTCAATCAAACACGCACGAATAAAGTCAAGCAGCTCATGCTTCTTAGCTCCCCTCGGCAATGTTACATCAATTTTATAGTGCTTAGCCACACTATGCAATTGCTTAATTTTCAACGCCGCAAGCAAGACCACTGAAGGAGCAGCCAAAAACGCCTCAAGTGTACTCATTATTACAACTTAAATTACGAGTCACCCATCACAATCAAACCAGGCTATGGTCTATACACACCCAACAGCAATAAATCCAGTCAAATAATCAAAACTAAACCTCAACGTCTTTCGGGTTACTAAACAATTCCAACCACACAAATTACATCGGGTGAAGCGGAATGCAGCTCATGTTACAGGACAACAACGGAGTTTCCCCCTAAACATTTACCCCCCTACTATTCTAACCTATCTTCACACTAAGTCCAAGAACAAGGCTCATTTACTCACCAATACCGATGGAATCGTACTGTCCCGACAAAAGTCAATTCAGCCGGTGCTCCACGGCGGTGCCCTCGTTCAGACTTCAGTGACCAGCAACCTAAACCCACAACGCCTAAGCGCACTAATTGGGGATAAAACAGGCTCCGTAAACTGTCATCCTGCAACACAAGTAGACATACAAACACACTTCGCCACTCAAACTCAACAAACAAACTATGGTTGGCAAAAATTGCTCTAAACTGCGCAAATAACCTACTCCCAACTTTTTCACAACCAAAGAACTAACTTTTAGCGATCAACATACTAAAGTAACATTAAATTCATTAACTGAACACCCGATGCGGAACTCCCCAACAAACAATCACAACGCACGCGTGCCAGCTGATTAGACTACTATCAGCTGATCACCGGTACGTGTCATTCACAAAATGTGAACCAATGACGTAGCACTACCCACGCAACCCAGCCTACACAATATTGCGAATTATAGTAGTCTACTTACAATTCGGGATCCAAATGGCTGGACGAGCCCCCATATGTCACGACTACCTGGCTCACAGTAGCAATGACATAGGGGAGACCACACCGTTTGTTAAGTTAAAGCAAACATAATTTATTAAACATTAAATTATACGATGAAATCATAACTTAGATCAATAAATGTAACAAGTCAGTAAATGAGAAACGAAATGAAACTAATCAAAAAGTGTGTTGCAGATCAGTAAAGTGTAGACTATGTGTAATGCATACAAAGCAAAAAGAAGTGGGATGATGCTGCTGCCACCAGCATGGAGACCCGAGCAATGCCGAGCCGCGCAGCACAGAGCAGACCAAACAACCGACAGGAGATGTTTTTAAATAGTCCCTCCAATCAGCTGTTGTCGGATGGACCTAAAACAAACAGCTCCCCCTTCAGACTGGGAGGAGAGAAACGGCCCAAACATAATACTATCCATGGTGGAGTGAGCACACCCAACACGGCAAAGCCGGGCGTGACAATATATATATGATTTTGTATATTGTTTGACCTACAGTTGTAATCGAAATTATTCAACCCCCATTGCAAATCAGGTTTATTGGCAAAATGTACAGACTTTCAGCTGTTTGCAATGAACAAATCAAACAAAAGTAATTGAAATCGCTCAAAACAACAAATGTTTCAAGTGGTTTCCCCAAATTCAACTGAAAATGCAACTTTTAATGACTTCTGCAGTCTCAAAATGTATTCAACAAACTATCCCTTCATGCCAAGCCTCTTTAGTACTTAGTAGAACACCCTTTTGCTGTTATGACCTGCTGCAAACGAGATGTATAACCAGACACCAGCTTCTGGCAGCGTTTCTGAGGAATCTAGCCCATTCCTCATGAGCAATGGCCTCCAGTTCAGTAATATTTACATTTATGCATTTGGCATAAATGTAAATATTACTGCCATTTGGCAGACGCTTTTATCCAAAGCGACTTACATTGCATTTCAAGGTACACATTTACATTCTTATCAATTCTTGCTTTCCCTGGGAATCGAACCCATAACCTTGGCCTTGCAAGCGCCAACGCTCTACTGTTTGAGCTACAGGAAAGACTCTTGGGTCTTATATTAATATTCTTGGGTTTGCGTGCTGCAACCGCCGCCTTCAAATCCAATGGGGATTTTCTATGGGGTTCTAGTCAGGTGACTGGGATGGCCACTGGAGAATCTTCCAGGACTTCTTCTGCAACCAAGCCTTGGTGGAATTTGAGGTATGCTTGGGATTTTTGTCCTGTTGGAAATTCCAATGACGCCCAAACTTGAGCTTCCTCACTGACGGCATGAAGTTTTCTCCTAGGATTTCCTAATACTTCAGTGAATCCATCTTGCCTTCCACACGCTGCAGGTTTCCAGTGCCCGAGAATGCAAAGCAGCCCCAGAGCACCACTGAGCCCCACCATGCGTAACTGTAGGCAGTGTTATTTTCAGCATATGCTTCATTCTTCCTCCAGACATACCGCTGATCCATATGTCTGAAAAGTTCCAGTTTTATTTCATTACTCCACAGAACACAATCCCAAAACTTCTGTGGCTTATTTATATGATTTTGAGCACTTTTCTTGTGCTTTTGGGTCAGTAATGGGGAGTTCTAGCATGTGTACGCGCCTTACTGTGCAAGCTGAAACCTGTTGAGAAACTGGTGCCTGTTGCCATCAAGTCACTCGAGGGTTTTTCTGAACCTGCCTTCTAAAAAAATCAGGTTGCAGCCGTTGACAACTTCCTTTTTCTGTCCTGTCCAGGTAGTGTAACCACTGTTCCTTTAATTTTGAACTTGCGAACTATGCTTCCAATGGTGTCTCTAGGAACATTTAGTGCCTTCACTATCTTTTTGTATCCTGTTGCTTGTTTGTGAAGGGCGATGATATCTTCTCTTAACTTTTTGGACAATTCTTTTGACTTAGCCATATTTCTAACATGCAGTCAAACGTGACACTCAACAAACCTAGCCAGTTCAGATATTTCATGTTCTAGCTCAAGCACACCTGGTGCAACTAATGAAGCCCTTGATTATTTGCATCAGGTGTGCTTGAGACAACACCTGTTTTGCAGATTTGTGCTGTTGTGAGGGTTTCTATTCAGGGGGGTTGAATGATTTTGAGACTGCGAAAGCTGCATTTTCAGTTCAATTTGGGGAAACCACTTTTGTTGTTTTGAGATATTACTTTTGTTTGATTTGTTCACTGCAAACAGCTGAAAGTCTGTATATTTTGCCAATTAACCTTATTTGCAATAGGGGTTGAATAATTTAGATTACAACTACTGTATGTGTTGATACTGTAATTTATTGACATTGAAACTATCTTCAGTGGGTTGTAGGAGAAAATGGAGTCCTCAAGCCAAAACGAATCAACCCAAATATCTACCAGCCACCATCATTAAAAGGTAAAAGCCTGTAGTTTTGCTTGTGATCTGTGCCTACTGTATTGTGTATATTCCATTGATTATATATATTATATATATATATTGTTCCGAAGACTATCCTGCACTGTTCCGGATCTGGGTTTAAAAACTCTCCAAAGCTGCAAGTCTGTTTTTTCCATTTTACCGTGTGTGTGAGTAAGATTAGAGATGGTGACAGCTGTGATGGGTGTGAGTCTGTGCTGCTCTGGATCATCCTGGATTACAGCAGATAGCATACAGCTGCAAACACACACACACACACAGTTTTAGAGGACAGACGTCCATCAGAAACATTTGCCATCAGATCAGTGCACTACAAAGATTGTGACCCACTGAGGACAATCTCGATTACTAGATTATGTCAACATAACGGTGCTGCTGTTTTCGTCTTTGGCTTAGTTTAGAACTATTTTCATTGACGGAGCAAAAATAAAATAACTGCGTATTTTGTCTAAATTGTCAGTTTATTGTTTATAGCAAAATCCATTTGAAATTCAAGGCAATATTAAGTTTGACAGCACTCCTCGTCTAATATTGCTCAATTGTCTCATTTGATCCAATATTTTTCACTTATGAAATTCTATGAAAAACATCAAAAGTTTTCAAACGTAACAAATGTAAACATTCTGCAAAAAACCCCCAAAAAAATCTCATGATGAAATGAGTTTGTTCTATTAACGATGTATTGAAAAAAATGGAAGCAAAGATAGCAATGCATTACTGTAATATTGTCTCTGAATCTGCGTTTTGTCTGTTTTGTGAAACGTCTATTTGCAGAAAGACAGGCAGGTGGGATATCCCTGTCCATACATGTCCTGTCATTGCAGCATAAATAAAACCCTTTCCAGTCAGCATGGTGCAGAAGTCTTGTTAAAATAATAGAGACCCAGCCCTTATTGCCTGTGTGTGTTTGTGTATGTGCCTGCATTTTCCCATTGTGATTTGGTGGTCCCTGATTTGTGTTTCCCCCTGTATGTGTGTTTGTGGTTGTGTGTTTATAGCCGTGCAGCAGATGGCTGAAGCTCAAATGCAGAAATTAGGTGTGTATCCTCATGTAGAGGAGGAAGGGGAGGAGCCTATTCAGAGAGAGAGGGAGGAGCTATCCTCATCCTGCACACCTGGTAATCTTAATATCACATCACAGAGGAACCTTCTACATGTGCATGTGGTCTGTACTAAGGTCCTTATCAGCAGGAAATATAGGCCATCCTCACGCAACGGTGACATTTATATGATATGATATATATACAAACACACACAATCATGGTCAGAATTATTGGCACCCTTTGTAAATATGAACAAAGAAGCCTGTAATTATAAATCTGCATTGTTTATCCTTTTGATCTTTCATTTAAAACAATCTAACCTTTCATTGAAGTAAAAAAAAATTGAAAATGTGGGCAAAATCTCTTTATGAAATAAATGTTTTTCTTCAAAACATGTTGGCCACAATTACAGGCATCCTTTTATTCAATACTTTTTGCAACGTCCTTTTCCCAAGATAACAGGGATTGCTCCTAAAATGCCTGAAGAGTTTGGAAAACACCTGACAAGAGATCAGAGACCATTCAAGTTCCAGTTCACCCCACTCATTTTCAATAGGGTTCAAGTCAGGGAACTGGGATTGTCATGGTAGAAGCTTCATTTTGTGCTCAGTGACACAATTTTGTTGATTTTGATGTTTGTTTTGGATCATTGTCCTGATGGAAGATCCAACTATGGCCCATTATAAGATTTCCATAAGATTTTCCGGCTGACAACATTAACAGTGGACATGGGGTACTTTTGTATCCCTGTTTGCACCAAACACATCTGGTGGGTTTGCTGCCAAAAAGCTCTTTTAGTTTCATCTGACCACAGAAGCAGGCCCTGTTTGAAGGTCCAGTCGTGTCTGACAACTGAATATGCTGGAGTTTGTTTTTGGATAAGAGCAAAAGATTGTTCTTGAAACCCTCCCGGACAACGTGGGGATGTAGGGGTTGTCTGATTTTTTTTTTTATTATGCTGACCCCAAGACTCAACTAATCTCTGCAATTCTCCATCGAGTCTCTGGCCACTCGAACTTTCCTCCTCGCTGTGCATTAAGACAATATAGACACACGTCCTCTAACTGGCAGATTCGTAACATCTTTAGTTTATTGGAACTTCTTAATTATTGCCCTGATGGTGGAAATGGGAATTTTCAATTCTTTAGCTATTTTCTTACAGCCACTTTCTATTTTCTAAAGCTCAACAATCTTTTGCTGCACATATTTTGTATGTAACTATAACTATATTCGATATATTCTATTAGAACTATATAACTATATTCTTTGGTTTTACTCATTGTGATGGATGATTAAGGGAATTTGGCCTTTGATTTTCTTCATATTTAAAATATTTATTTCATAATGTGATTTCCCCCCAATTTAAATTGATTTACTTCAATGAAAGTTTAGACTTTTGCGATGTTTTTGAATGAAAGATCAAAGGGATAAACAATGCAGATTTATATTCACAGCAATTTTGTATCATATTTACCAAGGGTGACAATAATTCTGACCATGTATGTATGCATGCATGTATGTGTGTATATATATATATATATATAGTATAGAGCTGGAGGTGGATTTTTGATTAATGGGTTTTTAAGATTTTTTGAGTTAGTACAGTCTGTCATTGTGCATCTCAGATTTTTCCACTAAATTTCAGTGCAAATTTACACCTTTTTTTTTTATATATATATATAAAAAAACAATTTTATGTATGCATTACTTGCATGTATGCATTGATAAAATATATTTGGACTTTGTGTCATTTAAAACATCATTGTTTCCTTATGTTGTACTACCCTCGTATCCGTTCTAAAATATTTCAGGGGGAAAAATCCAGATTAGAAAGTCAACAAACATGTGCATGTGCATGTCTCTCTTCTAGCATTCAGAGATGAGATTATCTGTCGACTATATATATATATATATATATATATATATTTTAAATAAATACTCCTTTTTAAGATTCACAGGAGCAAAGGGGCATGGCAGAACACCAGTCTGGCATGAGAAAGGCAGGAGCCACAGCACCTACTGAGGAAGAAGAGGAGGAGGAGGACGATGACGACGACGTAGAAGTAGCAGACAATATGGCAGTGGAGGAGAGCAGAAATGTGGACTGATAGAGCAAAAGTTTGAGGAACTTTAGAGATTTTTTCATAATGCAGAATTTTATTTTGAAATCAGAATTGTTTATTGATTGTCAATGATTCCATCATTTGATAACAGCTGTCTGTTTGTATTTTGGGAGAAAACGAGACTTAAAAAAACTCTTTAAAAACATTTTGGAGTGGTCAAACAACCTGAAAAGATTCATTCACCCTGACATTGCAATGAAATAGAGATATGCAGTTGTGCTCAAAAGTTTACACACCCCTTGCAGAATCTGCAAAATGTTAATTATTTTAACAAAATAAGAGGTGTCATACAAAATGCATGCTAATAAACATAAACTTTTGAATGGGGTCATTTTAATAAATTCAGCTATTTTTTGTCTTGTGGACTATGTAAACATCTTTTATGTTAAATATCTTATTCAGGACAGTACTAAATAAAAAAAATGGCATGCATTTTGTATGATCCCTCTTATTTGGTTAAAATAATTAACATTTTGCGGATTCTGCAAGGGGTATGTAAACTTTTGAGCACGACTGTATAAGGTCAAATCAATCAGCAGTCACATATGATATCATCCCTGCATATGCATCTCATACATTGAAACAAACAGGTAAAGTACAAATGTTTAGATCTATGAGCAGCGTGGTATGAATGTAAAGTGTCGAGATATGTGTCAGTGTTCATTTCATGTCATGTTTTATGGTCCGTTCATTATGTGTGCATTTCTGTGGACATACACTGCCATCTAGTGTACAGACAATTGTTAAACTGAATCCCATAGCATCATTTGTCAAGAACAATAATCCTGGAGCACATGGAAAGGCTCACTAAGTATTTAGCAGCATTTTTTTTAGCATTATTTGTTCAACCATTATCATCATCCTGACGGTCGGGCTGCATATGCCGTAACAAAACAGCCGAATCCGTTAGTTGGCTTTATCTCAGTAACTTCACTGCTGTGGGGGAAATTAATCATGGCTGACTGTGAATAATGCATTCCTACAGTGTTGTCTTTGTGATTCATTTGTAGTTTGTCAATGACATTGTGATCAAAGCTGCTATAAACATCATATTTGCGTACTGAATAGAATTTGCATCTCTTGATATGACTATTTGGTCACACATAACAACAACTCCAAATTCAGTGCCTCGGCTCAGTGGTCATGTGCATCAGAATTAAATATGCAAATCATTTCATTTTATTCGTTTACTGTAGTTAACAATTTGCATTAATATTAGCAGGGTAACTTACAACTTAGTTTTTCTTACGTTTCTTCCTTAGCAAAGTATTTTAAGGGAAAACTGTTGAACTATTTTTAAAAATTAATAATGATTTAAAATGATAAACCAAAAGCCACTTATTTGTTTTTTTTAAGAAATTACACTGCTTTATATTGAATATAATCATATTTGTATGCATGTATAATCCTTCAAATTTCATGCAGGTACATGTTGTTGATTTTGATTAACGTAGTGAATCTGAGAAAATGTACCAAATAAGTAAATACATCCATAAGAACTATGGAAATGTTTTAGGTTAAAGTCTCTGTATCAATAAATATATTTGCACTGAATTAGTGTTATAGAATATTTTTTCATATTTTGAGATTTTAACTGGCTAACTATATATTATTTCTTGACATTTGACCTCTGTCAAAGTGCTGTTACTTTACATTTGGAAATAAAGATTTGTATTACTCATAACATAACCAATGAAAATGATTAAAAAATATTCATCAAACAGGGATATTTTCAGTTTGATGCTTCTAAGATGAGCAAGCATGGGCAGTTTTGGCAAAAACAACATGGGATAGAGAACCACAGTGGTTCTCTATCCCATATCTTGAATGCATTCCCATAAAAGGTGGTCAATATTTTAGAGGAACATTTCTGTGATTTCTCAGCTTCTACCTTCACTATCACAGCACTAAAATGATCCAGGATTAGGAAACTTCCCTGTGTTTGCCAATTGCCATTGTGGGGCTGCACAGGACATGACCTTGAGACCTACTTCACACGATAGCTATAGGGATCTGTGTTTTATGGTGAGTTATGAGAGCATGATGTGACAGACAAAGGAAATGAAACCCAGTGGTATTATGCTCAGCCACTGCAACTAACTGTGGGAAATTCTAAAACTAGATCAGACCAATAACATATTTAAGAAAAGAAAAAAACTTTTAAAGTTTACAGACACCGCCTCATGTTGTTGTGGTGGGAAATGAGGCCATCCATTCAGCAGAAATCATAATCGAGAGAACTGAAACTGAAAGTACAAAAGTCCTTCACTTTTTATTAGGGCTGTCAAATGATTAATCGTGATTAATCACATCCAAAATAAAAGTTTTTTTTACATAATATATGTGGGTGCACACTGTGTATAATTATTTTATATATATATATAAATACACACACATGCTTGTATATATTTAAGAAATATTTTCATGTATATACTGTGTATAGATTTATATATAATTTATATTATATATAAATATAAATATTTTATATATAAATAATATTTTTTTCTTAAATATACATGCATGTGTGTGTATTTATATATATACAAAATAATTATACACAGTGCACCCACATATTTTATGTAAAAAAAACTTTTATTTTGGATGTGATTAATCGTGATTAATCATTTGACAGCCCTACTTTTTATACAATACAATTCATTATTCATTATCATTTATTTAAAAGTATGTATTAAATCTCATATATTTCAATAATTGCCTCAAAATTGCGATTTCATATCTCGCAATTGTAAAGTTTTTTCAAAGATTGCGAGTTTATATGTCGCATGACTTTATAACACGCAATATGTATATAAAATATGATGTGCATATACTAAATACTGCATCACCTACTACTGGTACTACTTCACCGACCATCTCTGGCTTCACTCTTCAAGCACGTACCAGAGTGGCGATCAGCTGGCGGATGTGACGTTCTCTCACATCCGGTTGCAATCGCGGAAGAGCAGCAGGCTGATAATAAGAGTGATGCGCTGATTTTGGTGAGTTTCGCCTTCGCTCTGTCTCTCTCGGCTGTTTTTTTTTAGTAACAGCGGGTTTGGTGCTTATAAATGACTTATACAAACTTTTTTCAACTGTTAACTAAACGCCGAGTTGCATTAGAGAGGTCAGTAAGTTAAGTATTTAAGTTTAGAGCTACAAGCTTGTTTTTGCTCCGGCTATTCGTGCTATACACTATACATGTGAATATACTCATGAATATTAATTACGTCTTTTCTGAATATCGGGTATTTGTTTACGAATCGTTGTTTTTTGGGGACAGATTTTTACAGTGAAATATGTTTTAAAGCTCCCATTGGCACAAACGGGGGAACTAAGTTATGATGATATGATGCTTTTGCTTCCCAGATGCGTGTTTTCTGGCCTGTTTATGGCTTAATATACATGTATTCATTGTTTAGACAAACAGGGACGATAGTGCTATCTAGTACTGAAAGTTAAAAGGTCTCTGTTTAATCAGCTTACCTGCAGTCATACTGTAAATTAAGTATGTAAGTATAAAATAGGTATCAAAAAAAGTATGGCAGAGAGATCAGGTTAAATTGTAATGAGCTATAATTATCTTTAGAGTTGCCATGCCAGCATTTTCACTTATTTTACCACAAATGTTATATTTTTAGTATGTTTAAACAATTTTATATTAAAAATGTAACATAAACATACAATTTGATTAAGGGATGCACAATATATCGGTATCGGCTGATATATGTTAATTTTTAATGTTATCGTCATTCGGGCCAATAAGAAAATTTGCCCGATATATATATTAAAGCCGATAAATAATGGATTATTTATTTCCTTGAGCTGAGACACTTCAGATATGCACTGTTCGCCATGATGGTTTTGAATTGCTTGAAATATGATCGAAATCACTTCAAAAAAGAAAATACAGTTCAGTGCAACATGTGCAGCGCAAGTCTGTCATATAGGCTACATAAAATTATAATCAGATCATTATAATTGTGCGCTTGGGATATGGATTTATTAGTGAGACTTTTGTTTTTGCAATCAGGCTCTCAAAAATGTGACTTCGGCCAATATATCGGTTATCGGCTTTCAAATAGAAAGAGTTCTCAGTAACAGCCAAAATTTTCATATCGGTGCATCCTTAATTTGATTGACAGAAATACTAAATGTAAGCATATATGTAGTACATTTACAGACTTACAAATTGTCCTTTGTCGTATTGTTTGCTAGGCCGTGACTTGTTTAGACCTGCTCTAAAAGTGGTCAAAGGCTGCTTGATTAGATCATGTATTCCTGCATGTTGTTTGATCACTGTTCTTTGAGTTTGTGTATAATGGCAGTATGTTGCATGAAAGCCAGATAAAGCATGTATCTTTGTTTGACATCTTTTCTTCTCTGGTTCAGGTGATGCGCTCCAACTGCATGTAGGTATGCGGAGCGGCGTGGGCTACAGCGAGTTGGAGGGAAGTCTTCCAGCCATTGCTTCTTTGAACGCCTCGTATTCCCAGGCGTCCCTCTCCCTTCCCTCGCCTTACTACTCCCCACTGCCCCCGGGAGAGAGGAAAGCCTTCTCAGATGTCCGCCGAACCTTTTGCCTCTTTGTTACGTTTGACCTCCTCTTCATCACTCTGCTCTGGATCATTGAATTAAATGTAAGCTTTTATTTTGTGCTTCCAAATTGTCTTCTTGCCCAGTGCTAATCGTTTTTCTCTGTCATGCAGTTTGTATTTCCTTTTTTTTACTTCGTCTATTATAATTTGGGTTCATATTTACGGTTGATTGTACGTGCCTGTATCACTTCCTCTGATGAAGAGAGTCATGCAAAATTTGCATATTATTTTGAACCATATTTAGTTAAGTAAATAGAGATGTGTGTAAATGTGTATTAATTTAAATAAAATATATGTATATATTAAAATGTTTTAACTAATTTTAAATGTATCTTTGGCGTGTGATATAAAATAGTACATCATGTGCAGTTTAAATTTTTTTATTTTTTTATTTGAACATGGTAATTTTGATCTGTTTTCTGTCTGTGTCTCTCAGATCAGTAAGAGTATATGGACCAGTCTTGAGAATGAGGTCGTCCTCTACAACTTCAAGTCATCTTTCTTTGATATATTTGTAAGTATGAGTCCCAATGCTTTGTTACCTAGTGAACCATAATAAAATGTGGTATATTTTTGTACTGGCTTTATACAGCATGTACAAATTAATTCTGGGTGAATTTGGGGTACAAAAAGGCCTTTTTATGCATTGAAGTTCTCATATCTGCAAAAAAAGTGATGGCATCCTGGAAAAATCTCAAAACTCTGATATTTACTACCTTTCTAACGGATCAGCACTGAACAGTCACTGTTAAATCCTTAGTTATTTCTTTATATAGCAATAATCTCTTTCTTTTTCTCCCTCGCTTGTTCCTGCTCAGCTTTTAGCTGTGTTTAGATTTCTGTGTTTGCAGCTTGGATATGCTGCATTTCAATTGAGACACTGGTGGGTCATTGCGGTAAGAAAGACCAACCTCAGCCTATAAACATCTCAGTATTTGCATTTTTTTTATGTAATATAATATATGTATTATATATATTTGTAATGTATATAATTACCCGTTTATATTTATTTATAATTATTTTATAATATATATATATATATATATATATATATATTTGGAAATATGACTTAAGCCCCGTTCACACTACACGCGACCAAGCGACGCGATACCATTCATTTCAATGGTGAGCGGGCGACTTCCGGCGACACGCGCGACAGCGACCATTGGCGACTAGATGGGGCGTGTCTAGCGACGCGACAAAGTTGAGAAATTTTTTACTTTATGCAAATGAAGAGCGATTTTCGCGAGCGACAACCAATAGGAGTGGAGCGCACGTGATCCTTCTCCTCAGCCCCTGGGCCTGCAGTGATGGATGGCAAGAAAGCTGATTCGCTGTCTTTTGGATGTCATACTAGTCAACCAGTAGTGGGAACGCCCACTAGCGACCTCATCGCCAGCGCCTGGTGACTTGCAGCGACAAAGTTGCGTGTAGTGTGAACGGGCCTTTAGTCTTAGATATGGTTTTTTGATTTATGATTTGATGGTTTTTTTCATTATATTTATCATATACAGGTCCTTCTAAAAAAATTAGTTCATTATTTTCCATAATGTAATGATAAATATTAAACTTTCATATATTTTAGATTCATTGCACACCAACTGAAATATTTCAGGTCTTTTATTGTTTTAATACTGATGATTTTGGCATACAGCTCATGAAAACCCAAAATTCCTGTCTAAAAAAATTAGCATATTTCATCCGACCAATAAAAGAAGTGTTTTTAATACAAAAAAAAAAAGTCAACCTTCAAATAATTATGTTCAGTTATGCACTTAATAGTCAATACTTGGTCGGGAATCCTTTTGCAGAAATGACTGCTTCAATGCGGCGTGGCATGGAGGCAATCAGCCTGTGGCACTGCTGAGGTGTTATGGAGGCCCAGGATGCTTCGATAGCGGCCTTAAGCTCATCCAGAGTGTTGGGTCTTGCGTCTCTCAACTTTCTCTTCACAATATCCCACAGATTCTCTATGGGGTTCAGGTCAGGAGAGTTGGCAGGCCAATTGAGCACAGTAATACCATGGTCAGTAAACCATTTACCAGTGGTTTTGGCACTGTGAGCAGGTGCCAGGTCGTGCTGAAAAATGAAATCTTCATCTCCATGAAGCCTTTCAGCAGATGGAAGCATGAAGTGCTCCAAAATCTCCTGATAGCTAGCTGCATTGACCCTGCCCTTGATAAAACACAGTGCACCAACACCAGCAGCTGACATGGCACCCCAGACCATCACTGACTGTGGGTACTTGACACTGGACTTCAGGCATTTTGGCATTTCCTTCTCCCCAGTCTTCCTCCAGACTCTGGCACCTTGATTTCCGAATGACATGCAAAACTGAGCAACAGTCCAGTACTGCTTCTCTGTAGCCCAGGTCAGGCGCTTCTGCCGCTGTTTCTGGTTCAAAAGTGTTCAAATGCGGCACCTGTAGCCCATTTCCTGCACACGCCTGTGCACGGTGGCTCTGGATGTTTCTACTCCAGACTCAGTCCACTGCTTCCGCAGGTCCCCCAAGGTCTGGAATCGGTCCTTCTCCACAATCTTCCTCAGGGTCCGGTCACCTCTTCTCGTTGTGCAGCGTTTTTTGCCACACTTTTTCCTTCCCACAGACTTCCCACTGAGGTGCCTTGATACAGCACTCTGGGAACAGCCTATTTGTTCAGAAATTTCTTTCTGTCTTACCCTCTTGCTTGAGGGTGTCAATGATGGCCTTCTGGACAGCAGTCAGGTCGGCAGTCTTACCCATGATTGCGGTTTTGAGTAATGAAACAGGCTGGGAGTTTTTAAAAGCCTCAGGAATCTTTTGCAGGTGTTTAGAGTTAATTAGTTGATTCAGATGATTAGGTTAATAGCTTGTTTAGAGACCCTTTTCATGATATGCTAATTTTTTGAGACAGGAATTTGGGGTTTTCATGAGCTGTATGCCAAAATCATCAGTATTAAAACAATAAAAGACCTGAAATATTTCAGTTGGTGTGCAATGAATCTAAAATATATGAAAGTTTAATTTTTATCATTACATTATGGAAAATAATAAACTTTATCACAATATGCTAATTTTTTTAGAAGGACCTGTAATGTTAGCATATAAGTCAAAACTCAACTTGAGTGTGTGTATATACAGTACTGGTCAAAAGTTTGGAAACATTACTTTTTTGAATGTTTTTGAAAGAAGTCTCCTCTGCTCATCATACCTGCATTTATTTGATCAAAAATACAGGAAACACTATAATATTGTGAAATGTTATTACAATTTAAAATAATGATTTCCTATTTTAATAGATTAGAATGATTTCTGAAGGATCACGTGACACTGAAGAAAGACTGGAGTAATGGCTGATAAATTCAGCTTTGCTTCACAGAAATAAATTATATTCTAAAGTATATTCAACTAGAAAACCATTATTTTAAATTGTAATAATATTTCACAATATTACTGTTTTTTTCTGTATTTTTGTTCAAATATATGCAGCCTTGATGAGCAGAAAAGGCTTTTTTCAAAAACATTCATAATAGTAATGTTTCCAAACTTTATATATATATATAAAACACACACACACAGAGACATTTTAAACTTTTAAAGGTTTCGATATGATCATTGTCTTTTTGTTCTTTCTCTGATGTCAGATCACTACTCTGGTGACCAGCGCCTTCCTCATTGCCAAAGTCATCATATCAGATGTAAGATAGTTAATGTTTTATCTTCCTAGCCAATCTATTTCAATGCTTAAATTATATGAAGTGAAGTCACATTGTCTGCTTTGTTCCTCAAATGAACCACTAACAGCTCTCTGAATTCTTTGTTTTATTACATTGCTGTAATAATAGAAATAGGTGTAGGAGGTCATAGTTGTCTTTTGTTTTCTCAGTTGTTTAGTCAGAATGCTTTTGGCTATGTTCTTCCCATCACCTCGTTTGTGTTGGCATGGTTGGAAACCTGGTTCCTGGATTTCAAAGTGCTCACACAGGAAGCAGAGGACGAGAGAGGTGAGAATTTTTAATACAAATATTCAGGGCTGTATTGAATATACACACATCGGTAAAAATAAAAGCCTTTGTTTATTCATGTTGGTCATAAAAGCATCCCTTTAAGCTGAAATATTACATATTTGAAAATAGCGGACAGTGGATGGCAGGTTATTTCTTATTTTCTCCTGATCCTACATTTATTTTATTTCAGGCAAACCCCCTAAAGGCTTCATAATTAGGGTTTTTTTCATTATCAATTTCCACTCTCTCTAAGGCTGTTAGAAATAAGCAGTTTGAAGTCAAAGCTTTTTGCATCTGTAACTTCAAGACGTATGAATTGCATCATAATATGATTGGCTGACCTTTTCCAAATTAAATGAGTAAAAACGTCCGAGACGTGTAATAATACTGAACTTTATTGTTATGTAAATGTGGATAATCATATGTTTGATGGTTGGGACATAGTCGTGATGATTTCTGAGCTAGCAGATTTGGCTTATTAGTTGTGGGTGGACTGGGGAACTTTGCATTATGAGAATTTGAGTGCCTACATAGTGCAAGGCCTTTCAAAAGAGGAAGAAAAAACCTTTTTCCTGTGATATGTCATTTTAATAGTCATGTGGTTACTTAAACAGTCACATTACTTTAAGATTTGGGAAGGGAAACATGCTTCTACTTTGTTCTGGAGATGCACACTAAGACTGTCACTGATGTTTGGGCAAGTCCTTGTAGGATAGGAAGAGCGCTACATTGATGATCTGTCATTTCCTCATCTCCTGCAGTGTATCTGGCAGCAGTAAATGCGGCGTGTGAGCCGGCCCCTCTGATCACTCCTAGAGCCGTGTCTGACGGACAGTTTTACTCCCCGCCGGAGTCCCTGGCAGGTAGAGCCATTCGCTTTCTTTCTAATGTGACCCAATGCTTTATTTCCTGCCTAATGTTTGTGTTTGTCCTGTAGGTTCTGAGGATGATCTTGATGAAGAGGGTCTCGGCAGGAGAGCAGTAACTGAACAAGTATACACATGATTGTTTTCTTTCTTTTCATTATGTTTGCATGGAAGAAATATCTGAAAATGGCCCAATTTCTGTCTCTCTAAAAGTAATAAGAACCACTTATTTCATAAGCAAAGCTGGGGTGCATTTCCTAAAAGCATCGTTAGCAAACTGTGCTCACAAGTTCCGTCGTTACAAACATAATTTAACGATTTGCCATTTATCGAAACCATAGTTCCAATGAATATTCGCAAACAGCGTCCCAAACTTGCATGGTTGGAACTACAGCTCTCGAGCTGTGGTTAAAAGCATAGTTTCTTGTTAAATTACATGTGGACTTAAACAGATCATGCTCTTGGGCACAATAGGCCTCTATCACACTTCCGTGTTAGAAACAACTAGGAGCGTAAAAAAAATAGTTTTTAAATATACTGGGTCTCATTCATGAAACACGAGCAGAACAAATTTTTGTGTAAATCGTGTGTAAAGTGGTTCTGGCGTAAATTTTCGGATTCATTAAAATGTTCGTATTTTCCAAATGTTAGTTGGTACACAAGAAATCTACACCTGCTCCCAGCCACGCGTAAATAGTGCGCTTAACACCCGAACGTTTTGCTCATTAATAAGGCTGCATTTTAATTCACCTTAATCGGGTACATATTTGCACAGCATTTTGAAAAAATATTATATATAGTAATTACATACGTTTTTTCTTATTATGAGAGCCAGTAATAGCATCTGCGATGGTGGTCCTTCTCCAGTTTGAATACTATTTTTCCGAAGTGAACTAATTCGTTTTTTGCCCTCAAGCTTAATGTCGAACCATTTTCTTCTCACTTCTGGGAATGTTCGATTAACAGATGAAACTCCATTAACTGCATCTGTAATATGCTGCCAAGCTTCCTTTTTTTTAGGACCTGATACGCCACTATGTACGCTTGAAAATAAAATGTGGCGTTTTGAATGAACTTCTGATAATGAAACTTCAATTTCTGCATCTGAGAATTTTTTCTTCTTCATTCGCATTCATGTCATAATATGATGCCCATATTTAGTTGTCAGTCGGATTTAATGGGCGGGATTTATGGTAATTGAGAATGAACGTGCACGCGCGTCCCATTTACGACTGATTGGAATTCATTAACACACACACATTTCACTATCACATCTGACGTTTACGAAGTATTTGTGAATCAGGAGAAGAGTTTTCGGGAAGGTCTCTTTACGCGCAAATCACTCGCATATTTACTCGTATATTTATGAATGTTTCTTGAATGAGACCCATTGTGCGTAAATTCACAAGGGAACTCTGGAGTATGACGTATACGTGAATGAATCAAACATCAACTAAAGCAAAAATGACATGAAACAAAAGCAGTGAAGTAGTCCACCTGCGCGTGACGTCATTAACGACATGTTGTTGAACCAATGTGGTTCAAACAACAGAGGTGCGACCATGTTACTACAGTGTGTCGGGAAACAGTTGTGACTAGTTGGTTAGTTTTCTCCAACGATGCAGCGTACTATGGTAGTTAACCAGTAATTACATCATTGTAAGGGAAACACTCCAGTTAATTCTGTATTCACTTGTTTTTAGGACAAAGAGTTTGTACGACAGGGACGGGAGGCCATGGCAGTGGTGGAACAGATACTGACACAAGAGGAAAACTGGAAGTTTGAGAAGACTAATGTATGTACACGTCCATGCTTGCAGTATTTATTTGCTAATGGTTTTGTGATTGGTTTAATATGAAACTCTTTCATTCTTAGGAGCAGGGAGATGCAGTATATACACTTGAAATCCCATTCCATGGGAAGACGTTTATTTTAAAGGTATGATGCTAATATATTATGAGCCTTCCTACTCCATGTTTCTACATATATACAGAATCAGTTACGTACCTGTGTTTGGCGTGTTTTAGGCACTCTTGCAGTGTTCTGCAGAGCTGGTGTATCAGGAGGTCATTTTGCAGCCAGAGAAGATGGTGCAGTGGAACAGAACCGTGTCTGTTTGTCAGGTACACGTACACCCTCAGACTCCTCCGTTAAAGACAGCTGAAAAACATGTGGGTGTGAGGCATGTGTAAATAGTGAAAAGACACATGTACACATCAAAATGTACAAAAAAAAAACTTTAGGTCACTACCGTTCAAAGGGTTTGGGGTTGGGTTTTTATTGTTTCTGAAAGCTGCATTTATTTGATACAGTCTAATGTAACAGAGTAATATTGTGAAATATTACAGGTTAAATTAACTTTTCTTTTTTTAATAAATTTTAAAATGTAATTTATTCCAGTGATGGCAAAGCCCAAATGATGCTGATCCAATCTCCTGTGTTGTCCGATCAAATGATGATTTGTTAGTCGCTGGATGTCATTGCACTAATGGATATGTAAAATTGGTGTTCATGTCAGAGATGTAACCTTGCTTCAACAGGGTGATATTTATATGGATGACATGGATTTTACTATCCTCTGACTATCCCTGCTAATTATAAAGACAAAACTCCAAAAAATGTTTGTTGAATGGATTGAGATTACAATCAACGTTCTCTCGGTTCCCTCCTCTGATCTGCCCATAGATTTTACAGCGAGTGGATGACAACACAATGGTGTCATATGATGTATCTGCAGGAGCTGCTGGAGGTGTCGTGTCTCCCAGGTGGCTGTTTTTGCTTCTCAATGTGTGTCAAATTGACGCTTAGGCCTGTTTAACAGGCTGCAGTATTCACACTGCGATGTAGAGTTTCCTTTTAGAACGTATATATTTTCAATACATAGTCATGTGATCATTTATACTAGTATTCAAAGGATTCAAACAGTGTCTTTCTTGTTTTTGACATTCAGGGACTTTGTAAATGTTCGTCGGGTGGAGCGCAGGCGAGACTGCTACATTTCTGCAGGAATGGCGACCAATTACATCAGCAAACCTCAGAGTCGCTACGTCAGGTCTGTCGTGTCCTCAGCCTGTTAAAATGCAGAACATATTTAAGCTGTAAACCAAACTCTCTCTCTTTCTTTCTCTCTCTCTCTCAGAGGGGAAAATGGTCCTGGTGGATTTGTTGTGTTGAAATCCAACAGTAATCCTTCAGTTTGCACCTTCATCTGGGTTCTCAATACAGACCTTAAGGTAAGAGCTTCATGTACCACAAGTTTGTACATTTAAGCCGTTTAAACGTATTCAAATAATGCATGTTTTTAATTAAGTGTTTCCAAATGCAAGAATCACTATTAGTGTTGTGCATATTTGATGTTAAGGGGTTGTTTAGATCTCTGACCCCAAGTATTTAACGTCATTGTGCAACTCATCCTGCACCATTTGTGTTACGGACATGAATTATGCCTCAAATCATGCAACTTGTTGAGGAGATGTGCACTATAACATTTTGAAGCATTCAGATTTATCGCAGATGGAAAAATCCAACAGACTTACAGAAAACCTACTTTTTAGATGTGGCCCAATTAGATGCCCCCGAACAACCCCTATTTTGTTTCTAAATACATTTTTACACAATTATATATTATCCATTTATTATCAATGTATTTTCTTCTTACAGGGTCGCCTCCCACGTTACCTCATCCACCAGTCACTGGCCGCCACCATGTTTGAGTTCATGTCTCATCTCAGGCAGCGTATAAATGATGTCCACGTCTCCTACCGGTGATCTCCGGCTTCGACTCTTTATCCAGCCACGGTTTACGTTGTGGTAACTTCAAATTACACTGCGCCATATTCATTCTCCTGTAAACTACAGTTGTCGTGAGGAGATACAGCATCACATTTGACTGGTGGAAGGTTGTTACGGGCTGTCTGAGTGTTTGGCTGCACTTTATACTGAAGTTAAAGCTGATATAGATGTACTACTACAGCACATGGACATGAGGCCGAACTCATGCTGTCAAATCACACAAGAGCTAGAAACATGCACAGGAAATTGTGTGGTGTGTAAGGGGAAATGGATGTGTTGTTCAGCTGTGCCTAAAACCACTGTTGTCCCCCTAGTGAACATGACTGAAGACTAGGATGGTTTCTATACAATATTCTGAGCCAAATCCGCTGCGGTTTCTCATTCTGCTTTTACTTGTGCCTTAATCGTTCATCCACACACATTCATACTAATATTAATTATTGTTTGAGGTCTTATGCTTTTCAATTGGCTCTTGTGGCCAAACATTGCTGCGTTAGATTATTAATAGTAAATGTATTCATCTGTGGTGTAGATCAGTGGTCTGCTATGTATATGATAATTTTGTCTAATAATGCATACGGTTAAGAGTTTGATTATTCAGTTATGTCTTAAATCAACATTAACCGGTTAACTAGTATCAAAACACTTGTAGCATGCATAAAAAATTCTGCTGCTACAACAATAACAAAATATTGAAGCAAACATTTGTGCTTGGTTTTATTCTAGAAAATCAATCTGAAATTAATGTAATGGTCCTTCTATTGAAATTTGCATTTATTTCTCTTCTTTCTGTGTTGCATGTCAGTTTATTTTCACACAGAGCATAATTGACTGCTTTTTATTGGTTATACACTCATGTTTACCACATTTATACAGGGCACAGCATTTTATAAACATTTGAAACCGGAAATGAATCATAGTCACCAGTTGTTTGATTAGTATTGCCACTAATATAAATGCCGCTTCTAAAATGTGAATGTGACCTTCATGAATAGTTGCCTTGAAGCAAGCAAAATACTTTTTGCTTTAATGGAGAGAAAAGACACTCTTACAGGGTATTGCGCTTCCTTTTAAGGGACGGCATGTTTAGGTCAGTTTATCAGTGATGTTGTGAATGATGTTGATCTTTTTAAAGTCTTGTTCTTGTTTTGCAGCAAACAAGATTTGCGTATTGGTTTGTACTTGTGTGCCTTTATCGTTTCCCTCACTGAAATTACATGTTCAGGATTGCTGACATTATTTAGATGTATTTTGTATCTGTACATACTTTTTGGGCATCTACAGACTGTAACCACATTTACTTGTGCAGAGCCTTTTGCAGTTCACTTGAATTCATTCGATTCAGGTTCTGTGTGAATGTTATTTTTATACTGATTTACAGTAATATGAAGCTATACAGAATTTTGTCATGTAATTCAGAAATCAGAGTTTCTGCTGAATTCAATAATCAACATTTAATAAAACTAACAAACAGTTTATACATGATGTCTGTTATTTGTTTCAGATTTATTGTTAATTAAACCCCCAAACTGCATGAATGTTTAACTCTTTTAAAAGTCTGAATGTCATTGAATTAGATGATACAGGGTTTGTTATATATAAGTTGTTGTTGTTTTTTGTTTGTTTTTGGATTGCCCCAGTTCGGCAAGTCATTTTCCACTGGCACCACCGAAAACATTTTTAGTAGCACTGTTACCAAACATTTGGTAACCGTTTATTATATTTAGATCTGTCAAAAACTTCCATTACAACAGTCAAGGTTGTTGCCGAAACATTGGTTCAATACACTTTTAAGCAAGTGTGGAGTTCAATTATTTTAAAATATAAATTATATATATATATATATGTGTGCACAACACTTTTTTTTTTGTCATTTGTGAACTATATATCTGATATTTTATCATATAAAACCTAAAAATAAAAATGTTGTGATATGTTTTGCTTGAACATTGTTCTCGTGCCATCTTTATTTGAAATAAATGCCATTTGTTTGTATATTTTATCTAATGCAATGACATTCAGACCTTTGAAAGTGTAGCTTTAAGAGTCCAAAAGGTTTAGAATTACATTGATTCATTTAGTTGACACTTTTATCCAAAGCGACAAAATATGCTAGAAATAATTCTGTTGTAATTATATTTTCTCTTCTCTTTTTTTAAATACACCCTGACATAATCACAAGGATGATTATTTGTAGTATGTCTCTTCAGTTAACAGCCTCTGGCAGAGCAAGTTGTGCTCCGTCCACCATGTGATAGCACACAGCCTATGAGCCTCTCACATGAGTGTCACACATCAAACACTTCTCTATTTCCCTCCTTCCCTCTCATAAATTCTGAGGTTTGGAATTTTGTTTATTCATGTGATCCTTGTACACATTTGGAGGATTGTCTCAATTGGAATTTGACAAAAATGCACATTTGAGAAGAAAACTTGCCGCACTGATCAAAACGAAAAGATGCAATAGGGGATGTGAAGTGTTTGTTAGTCCTCAAGGACTGTAAAATTAAATTACACATCTTGAACATCCATAGCAAAACGCATAAGTGTCTGTTTAGTTCTAGATTTTTGTGACTAGGCTACCAACCTGCAACTGAAATACCCAACATTTTTATGATAAACGACATCTGACAAAACAAACATTTTAGTATTTGGATTTCACATGCTTAAAATGTTATATATATATATATATATATATATATATATATATATATATATATATATATATATATATATATGCACAATCTTAAATAAGTTAAAATATGTTAAATGAATGTAAAGAGTGGTGGGAAAAAAACAGGATGTGTGTGTCAGATCTGCATCGTGCGTCAGGTTTTAAAGTGACAGCAGCATTAACCTGCTGTTTGTGATTAATGTTAATCAAAGAACAAATAACAAAGAGAAAATCACACACTGCTCGTCTGAATCACTTTTGTAGCGTTAATAATGATTAATCTATATTCAACTTATAATTTACGCAGTGATACTGTACAGAGTTTGATCATTCCATTTATGTAGCCTATATTTACCTGTTAGACCTACCTGAAAATCTTAAAGCACTGTTTACAAGGTTACATAGGTAAAAAACAACGAAAACAATAACTTGTTTTTGCATTTAAAAAGGCAGACTAAAAATCTGAACTGGCAGACTGGGCCAGAAGAAAAAACCTTAGCATTGAGCCCTGATATATTAGCCCTGTGACATTGATTACAATAGGTTTATGTGAAGATTGTTTGAAGTTCACTTAAATTAAAAGTTGTTATATTTTTTAAAGCCTATTAAATGTTCAAATTGATAGCTTTCAATAATGTTGAATGGCAATAATTAATGGCTAAAATTGAGAAAACAAATCAATGTAATAAGAGACTATATAAGTACTGGTATCGGTTAATTATAGTGCTTAGTAAAAAGATGCCATTAACCCTCTGGGCTTCTTCGGTCAAAAATGACCGAAACAGTATACGTTTTGAAATGTTTAATTTTTTTGCTTCATCGGAGGGGGATGAAACTTGGTGACTTTTGTTGTATTACCTATGTGAACACACAAAAAAATCAAGGAGATGATTCGGATATGTTAAAGGGTCTTAAAAAAAATAGTCACACTTAGCTTCCTTTCGGTCAAAAATGATCGACATATGAAATGAATGGGAAATACGAAAAAATAGGAAAACTCAGAGAAACTTTTGGTGGTACAAACTACAGATCAGCCACTGTGCAGAAAAAAAGTGTACAGCAATGAAGGGGTGACACTCTAAAACATCAAGAGTGCAAATAAGACACCTCCCCCCCCCCCACACACACACCCACGCACACACACACACACACACACAGAAATGAATAGGAAAGACTGTTACAGCAAATGTTGAGAAAATGCTAAATAAAATCAAAAATTAAAATAAAGTACAAAAGATAGGCTACTCTTTCTCGCTCAAATGCACACACACACACCTCATCATGTCTAAAACAACAATATGAATCAAAAAGCCTTTCTATGTATTTGTAGGAAGCCTACAGGCGGTTACGGACATTACACACATTTATACATTTTTACTTATCTAAAAAAAAAAAAAAAAAAAAGTAGTCTTTTAACATATCTAAATATATATCTAAATAAAAAAAAAAGAATAAGAGAGAGAAATCATGTCTAAAACAGCAATAGGAATCAAAAAGCATTTCTATGTATTTACATAGGAAGCTATGGGCAGCCTACAGGCGGTTACGGACATTACACACTTTAAAACATTTTTAAAGCCACTGGATGGCGGTATTCTCACTTGAAATTTTTTTTGCCTGCTGCCAGCATTATATTTTAATGTGCCACGTTGAGTTTTTTGAAAAAAAATTTTTTTATATAATAATAATAAAAAAATACAAAAATTCTAATGGAAAAAATAGCTCGTAAAAATTAAATAAATAATGCAAAGTATCATAAAAATCTTTAAAAATTCGAAATAATAATAAGAAAATATTATTGAACAAAAATATATTTGAATGGTTTTCCTGGGGGGAAAAAAAGTTACATTTTAAGGCTTCGGTCTTTTTTGACCGAAAGGAAGCCAAGTGTAACCCCTAAACAAAGAAGCCCAGAGGGTTAAAGGGTAACTAAACCCTAAAACAACCTTTTTTAGTTAATGATCTGTAAGACTGGGGCTTTATTAATGCTGTTCATTGATTCAAGTAATTTTTTTGACATTTGGGTATAAAATGTTTTAATTCTACAATATATGGTGTAAAAACGTCTGAGTGCTGCCCTCTTCAGGTTGAACGGTGGCTACTGCAGGTGAATTTTCCTATTGGAAGTTGTGGTGCCCTGTGATGTAAGAGGGTACCAGCTAACCATGCCCTTGCCTACAGAGAGAGACCCTTCTCAGGTTAACGCCCCCCCTCCGCTGGCCTCTGCCCACTTATCCAGCATTTTTCAAATATTGCCAGTGGGTGGAGTCAGGCTCTGACCAAGGGTTTAGTTACCCTTTAAATGAATATTTAAAATATACTGTCTTTATGTTGTTTCTACATTATTTTGGAGATTCAATGTAAAAGTATTACAATATTTACTTTACGTAATTTATTTATAAAACAATTGTAAAAAAAAAAAGTGCTGCCAAATTGATTAATCCTGATTAATCGCATCTAACATGAAAGTTTTTGTTTATTATATATTATATATAATATGTATATATATATAATTCGTTGATTTCTTTCATCGATTGACAGTACTAATAAATAAAATAATAATATATATATATATATTAGATGAATAAAGTTAGTTTTATTTAGAGTTTGACCAGGCAGGATATTGAAGAACAAAACCCTGAATGTATCAAACATAACTGAAATAAGTCCAAGTTAAAGCACTAAAATTACATACTAAAAATAATTTAAAAAAACGAAAACTGAAAAATAAATTAAACCCGAAATAGTAATCACAGAAAAATTAATAAAATGACAAAAGCACCTCAAGTTATGAAAACTGGAATAAAAGCTTCTTTCAAAATAGTAATAAAACTGTAATTAGTTCATAAAATAACACCGATCTGCTGTTATGTGCTTCTCAAGTCTGGTATTTACTGGTTTGATTCTTTTGCCAGTGAGTTTTTCAATGAAATGTGAGCTGGAGGTTTAGGATTATTGTTTTTTATAATAATATGAAGCAACTGTGCTATTCAGGCTAATCACTATTTTTCCTTCA